TTGGGTAGTCATTTGATGAAGGATCGACAAAACCTGGCTCAGATTGTTTTATGCATTTAGCATAATAATCTGGCTTGTTATAACACTCAGTTGCTTTTAAACACCAGTTCCTGAAATATCATTCAGAAATATTCTATTTAATGCGTACTAACAATTAGTCAATAACTAGAAGTGCAAATGGTCTATTAATAGGTTATTATCTACTGTATCATTTAGTAACAACGATCGGTTAATAACCGATCATGATTAACCATTGCCATTACTACGATAGTTTAATTTATACAGTATTTATTATAGATTATAAAATTAAATATACTAAACTCCACATTACAACCCATAAACTTAAAACTACACTCACTAAACCATCATTATTCCGATTAAACAAACCATAATGACTTAATCTTCTTGCTTTACTCTCTTCAAACACAAAGTCTGCGGGTGCAACAGAAGTGACAGTTTGCAAGACAATTAAAGTACTTGGTGGATAGTAAGTATCATAGGTTGTTAATTCACCATTATTGAACTCAGTAACAGTAGTTGTATATCCTGGACAATATACTGTAACCGTTACTGTGACTACTGTAGTTACGAATGCAGTTATTGTGTTGCTATCGTAATTGTGTGGTATGATAGTCGTGATATGATAGTCATGATCTTCTGAAGTTACAGTTTTACCACTATCTTGTTTGGTGCTTTAAAGAGAGACAAACAAAAGGTATAAATTAGATTTTGTAATTTTTTTAAAAAATTTGATCTTAATTGTCATAAAATGAAGAGTCGAATTTAGAACATACTCAGTTTTACAGTATGGATTATTTGAACAAACATCAGTAGTAGATGTATAATGTTTGGTAATAGGAATTTTTTGCGCAGAATTCGAAGGTTTTGGAGAATTCAAAGGTTTGAGAACTGGAGGGACATATGTAGTTCGCGGACCAGGATGAATTGAATTTGACCGAGGCGGTTGAGCATTTGACCGAGGTAGTTTAGGTGCAATTGAATTTGTCCGAGGTAGTTGAGGTGGAATTGAATTTGACCGAGGTAGTTTAGGTTGAATTGAATTTGTCCGAGGTAGTTGAGGTGGAATTGAATTTGACCGCGGAATTGGATTTGATCGAGGCGGTTGAGAATTTGACCGAGGTAGTTGAGGTGGAATTGAATTTGACCGAGGCGGAATTGATGGTTGGGTCTGTGGAGGTCGAGTCGGTTGTCGAGTTGGTTGTTGTTGTGGTGGTCGAGTTGGTTGCTGTTGAGTTGGTTGTGGTTGTGGTGGTGGTCGAGTTGGTTGTGGTGGTGGTCGAGTTGGTTGTGGTTGAGGTTGAGGTTGTTGCTGTCGAGTTGGTTGCGGTTGTGGTTGAGGTTGTTGTTGTCGAGTTGGTTGCCGTTGTGGTTGAGGTTGTTGTTGTCGAGTTGGTTGCCGTTGTGGTTGAGGTTGTTGTTGTCGAGTTGGTTGCCGTTGTGGTTGAGGTCGTTTTTGTGTGACTGGATTGAACGTTAAAATGTTAATATGCACGTAGTAGCAGGGATGGTAAATGACCTTCAAATGACCCCAAATGACCCCAAATGACCCCAATTTTATTATGAATTTTAGTCTGAAATGACCTAGGTCATTTGAAAAAAAGGCAAACGACCTCTAATTTTACCATCTCTGCGTAGTAGCTAATATTGTGGTCATTTAGAAGTTGTTGAATTTTAACAGATGCATGTATACCTGCAAATCTTATGAAAATTGCCGTAATGAGTAATAACATTACAATGTGAGTCCGGCTACAAAATAATTTGGGTCTCATTTTTATTTTATTTTATATGCATCAATTGGTGTTTTAAGAAAAAAATACGCAAATTAAGAAAATTCTAATGCAAGTGATTTTTTTGTATGAATAATAGTGAAAAAGAGTTTTCTTTTGCATTCGTTAAATAATTTCGAATATTTGATTGAATTATTCAAATGACCGTCCTATTTGAGAATTTCTTATCAAATCACTAACCATCATGGCAAACTTTATTGAAAATTTCTGTGATTGTGACCACCTTTTTCTTGAGTTATCCATTTTTAAAAGTAATTGTGACCATCTATTAGTCAATGAAGATATCTCAAAATCTCGGTCTATTTTTAGCCGGAAATACTGAATGTTTATTTAAGGAAAATCATCGGTCACGCCAAGAATTCGTAATTTTAAATTATGGCGTTTATATAACGTGTTACAAGGAAGTAAAAAACCAAATGTTCATCGATTGTAACATGATTAACAGATTCAATCTACTTAATATGGTGTTAGTAATCCAAACTTGAATATGTCGAATATAAAGTTCATGAAATCTTAAAAAAAACGATTGATTACAGCGCTTTTCAAATTAGTGATACCACCAAAATTTCATGCACCATGTATCATCTGGATCGGGACACGCAAAAATTTAGACATTATTTATTGATTTCCAAATCTGTATAAATGTTTGCGTGTCCCTGCTGGGAATCAGGAATTTAGGGTTTAACGCTAATATCAAAATAGAAGCATGTAATTGGCTAAAAAAGACATTATTTAATTCTTAGCGTTAGTAGATTTTTTTTCAAAAGCTGAACAAAGATTTCTCAATATCCACATGGTCAGTTTTGATGTTTAGGATTATTTTCGGAAGTTCAAGTAAAATTTTATGATTTCTAAGAGCATTGATAGCTTTATAGCGATAAAAGTTGTTTTTGTAAATTATTATTATTTTTTTTTTTTGTGATTAGTAAAAGAAAATCCGAAATTCCCAATATTAATCTTCCAAATCTGCTGCTAATTCTTGTGTATTGCTAGATATAGTATCAGTATTATAAGAGTGAAAATCAAAAAAAAATTATTTATAAGCGAAATAATTAGATTTATTCACAAAAAAAGGATTTCGAATGATAGATGATTTAGTACCAGGGTTCTAAAATTTTGGTAATTTGTAGTTTGGTGATAATTACCAGTAAATGACCTATCGTTTTGGTGAATTGGCAGTAAATTACATATCGCTGTGTTTTTTTACAAATTACAAATAAATTATCTATCGCTATCGCCGTGTTTTTTGATAATTGCCAATAAATTATCGTTATAGATAAACAATTGAAGTTATAGAATCTCAAGCATTCTGGTGAAGCCGAAAAAATTTCAGGCTTTGTTCTTAGCTGGTGGATGTCAAACATTTTGGGTATTCTAAGTCGACAGATATTTATATAGTTGGGAGTCTAATGAATACTTTAGATATTGCACTAAGTAAAGGTTCTATGGAATTTATTCCAACTTAGCGCTTTACAGTTGATGTAACAATTAACACTATGCGATATGAACAGTCAGTCTTTGCTATCTACAAAGAATTGATCTATCTCAGAAACTTTACAATTGGAATTTTATTAACAATTAACCTTTTATTTACTTACCTCATACAATAAATAACACTCTCCATTTCATTCACATGTTTCAAATTTGTTTTTAATTGGACAATATTAATTCATTAATTCATTAATTCATAAGAGATATATATTTTATTTGATCAAATTGAAGCTTATACTACAGAATTGAAAAAAATGAAAATTTTATGATTATAATAAAGCTAAACTTTGTAGAATACCAACATCGGTTTTAAAAATAGTATATAAGTATCATAAGAAATTGGGAATAAATCAGTTATTATCCACAAAGTATACAATAGTCGAAAATTAAATCCGGATTGGATAATGTTAGAACGTCCACTGGTTGCTACGCAACTAGTGACATTCCGTCATTATCCGATCATCTGACTCGAATTTAATCTTTGACTATTTTCCACAAAGTAGACAATAACATATACATATTGAGCAGAGTGTCCAGCTAGTAATAGTCGAAATAGCTAGCAAAAATAGCTAGCAAAATAGCAAAAATAGCAAATTAGCAATCATAAGAATATAGTGAATAGTGACTATTTACTGTGCCACTGCCTTTTGTTTAAAGTATCTTTCTTGATATATATAAATATTTGGATATTGCTAACTTGCCCCCGGTTAACATAACCCTCTCTTATTATAACTCAAAAAATAACCTAAATAACCATGTTTGATCCATTAAGCAAAAATGTTCAGCACTCTAAAAAACCTTATTCTAGCTTAAATTTTACCCTAAACCTAATCTTAACTCTAATTTTAATTTTAGTTTTAAATTTTAAAAATAAAAATTTATAATAAATTATAGCTGGTTAAAATTTATAATTTTAACCAGGGGGTAAATTAGTTAAATTCTAAGTATTTAATCGTCTTAAAATTTTAATATAATGCATTTAATATATTTCGTTTTAGTTCTGCTTTGAATCTGGCTGATATATCTATAGATTCAAACGTTTCTAATTGTTCACAGACAAGAAGAATAACAAAATTCGCATCTTAGCACAAAAACAATGTAGCTAGTTATTTTAGATGCTAGAAATAGCTGGACACTCTGATATTGAGCGAGGGAATTTAAAAATAAATAATTTTTTTTTATACTGACCAGAGTATTTAAAATATTTATATATCAAATAAAATAGTTAACTGTTTTGAATGTGAATATCTTATTTTAAACACTTGATTAATAAATTTTTTATACTCACCGGATAAAACGAAATTAATTGGAAAGATTCATAAACTGAAGTAGTTATTTTAAACATTTAGATAATAATTTTTTTTAAATTAAAGAAATGAAAAAAAAAATTTTTGCAAATTTTTATGAACGCGAATAGCTTATTTAAAACACCTAGATTAATCCCTTTTAGGATAAAATATAGTATAGGTGACACCTACTTTAAATCAATTGATTATTTATTAAGGTGTCACCTATACTATATTTTATCCCATTTGAGATTAGTCTACTCACTTCCTAAATTAATGTGGATAAAATAAAATTAAATAGTAAAACTTTATAAACTGGATAGTTATTTTAAAATTTAATAAAATTTTTTTATACTTACTCGAATTAACGTGAATGAATAGCTTATTTAAAACTTAGATAAATGCTTTCTTAACATCCACGCATTAAGTGTAATTAAATAAATACGAATTTGAATTGCTATTTTAAGTACTTAATACTTTTAAACTCGCGCAATCTTATAATTCAAATACATTTTCAAATTCCAGAAACCTATAAAATTTGAAATTGTCGACATTACAAATAGATCTTGAGATACCTTTACTAAAAAATTAGCATTAAGTTTGAAATCTTCAGAAATAATCTAACAAATCGTAATACTCAAGGGCATTTTGAATTAGGAAATTTACCTAAATGCTGAAATTGGCCAGATATTTCTTCTTTTAATTTTCGACAATTATTGGATTTTTCACAAGTATGCATCTTTTAATGGAACCTGGCACAGGACTTTTTAAATAATGAAACAACCCACTTAATAAATCTAATTAACGAAGATGTACGTAGTTTTTTTTGTTGTAGTTATATGGCATAAATACATTCTGAATCGAGTTGAAATGAGCAAAATTTTATTTAAATATACTA